GGGGACAGGTGCATAGGGGGACAATAGGGGGAGGGGACAGGTGCATAGGGGGACAATAGGGGGAGGAGACAGGTGCATAGGGGAGAAGTGCAAGGGGAAACAATAAGACCAACAACAGTGCAATAAGAAACGAGTCAGTACAAGACAAAAGAGGGAAATAATAAATATGCAATTAATAGCTGGTGCATCAGGGAACGATGTGTGAATAGCAAGAGATATACAGTGCTGATAAAGTGCAGATGTGGAATAGTGAAGGGCAGTGTGCAATACTGTCATTGTGCAGCAGTAAGGACTCATCACTGGCCGTATAGTAGGAGTGATTATAGTGCGGCATGTAATTATGGATTCCCGCCATGTTGTGGGAATCTGAGCAGCATCTCCATCATCCTCGTCTGCTGCAAGGCCACCCCATCCAAGCCTGGGGTCCACCAGACCAAGGCTGCCATTACGTGTGAAAAAAAACAAATGCTTATTATACAGGCGAGATGGCGTGTGCTTCCTGCCTCGCTCGTCACGGTATAGTTATGCTGCTTGCAATGGCTTCGTATTTGTTCACTAAGGTAGGATTCCTGGAGGCTTTCCTTGGCTGTGTTGTGACTGCAGTGACTGATGGACAGCTGGCTGAAAGGGGATAGGAGGGGGGGCAGAATGCTGGGGGTGATGCAGCATGGGGTAGGAGCAGGCCGGGTGGAGAAGGGGGACAGCATGAAGTAGAAAGCAATGAGCAAAGAAAGAGCGCTTATTGGGGAGAAGCTGGTATCTGCAGCAGGCCAGCTGTGAAGCTTAAGCTGCTTAGGCTCCCAGGGGAAACGTGCAAGACGCCTGAGAGACGTAGCCACAGCAAAGCCGAAAGGGAGGAGAGAGGGGCAAGGGGGGGAGGAGGGGAGGGCAGAGGAAGGGAGAGGAGAGGAGGAGGGGAGAGGAAGGGAACTGAGTGGTGAAGTGAGGAGGGGAAAGGAGAAGTGAGGGAGGAAAGGAGGGGGTGGAGAGAAGAAGATGGGAAAGAGAGGAGAAGAGTGGGAGGAGAGGATGAGGAAGGGAGAGGAGGTAGAAGAAAGGAGAGGAGAGGAGGAGGGGAAAAGGTGAGAGAAGGGGAGGAGAGGAGAGAACAGAGGAGGGCTGAAGAAGAGAAGAGAGGGAGGAGGGGATAGGATGAAGAAGGGAGAAGAGGGAGAAGAGAGGAGGGGAGGAGGAGAGGAAGGGAGAGGAAGAGGGGAGAGGAGTGGTGTTGAGAGGAGGAGAGGAGAAGGGGGAGGGGAGAGAAGAGGAAGGGAGAAGAGAAGGGGAAGAGGAGGGACAAGGGGAGAGGAGATGAGAGGAGGGGGAAGGAGGGTGTAGAGGGGAGAAGGGAGAAAGATAGGAAGAGGATAGGTGAAAGGTGAAATAGAGAAGAAGGAGGGGAGAGAGAGGACAGGAGAGCAGGGAGTCGAGAGGAGGGGAGAGGAACAAAGAAGAGGGCGAAGGTTTAGAAAGGAGGATAGAGAGAAAGAGAGAGAGAAGAAGAAGGAATGGGGCAGAGAGAGAAAGGAGAAAACAGATAGAGAAGACAGAGAGAGAGAAGGAGAGAGAAGAGGGGAGGTAGAAGTGAGAGAGGGAGAGAGTAGAGGGGAGAGGTGACGTGGGGGGCTTTTGTAATATCATTATTCAACATTTACCCAAACATGTAAAAATATGATGTTTGTTATTGAAATTCCTGTGTTGCTATCAGCCAGCTCCAGAAGGTTCTGCCAGGACTTCCTGCATTTTCAGCCCTGAGCGACTATTGTGAAACAGCTGAAAACAATTTTAATTAGGATACATGTTTGGGGAACAGGGTGAGTGCAGTGGACACAACCCCGCCCACTTCCTGGGGAGACATTAGAAATGGTTATTTCACATGAGCACAGGCAGCTCCCTGCTTTGGTTTTCAAATGGTCCCTCTTTGTTCTAAGATTCTGAACTGATGAAAAAAAAACATTCAAGTAAATGCTGGTTTTGATCAGAGGAAAAAATCATACACCGGAAAGTGATTATGGATGGGAGTGTACTTTGTTTTTCTGGTTTTAGAAGATATCGCCTCACGGGGGGGGGGGGGCTGAGGGACAGTAAGGGCGGCTGTACAATAGGCAAAGATTTTATTTACAGAAGACCACAATTATCTCATTTGAATACGATGGCATGTTATTACGTTTTCTGTTCAACAGGACAAGATCAATATGAAAAGTCATTTGTCTTTTCTAGGTATTTGGCTTTTGTCCTGTAATAACCAAATTGAATGCACTGGACCGTCTGAATAGGAGCGTGTATTTGTGATGCTGCTGGTTCCTGGGGGTAGTTGGAGCGTGACCTGAGCAGCGCTGAGCTCCCCAGTGAGTCAGCGGGTCCTGACGTTCTCCCCCCCCCCTCCCCCCCCACAGGCAGTATCAGCCGTACCGGGGCCGTACCGGCCTTCCTGAGGACCCCCGGTGTGATCCAGCCGCACCTGGACATGAAGCCCTTCCTGCAGTTCCCCCTCGAATCGCCGCCTCCTCACAGCGTTGGGATCTTCCACAACTTCAGCGCGGTGAGGCCAAACTTTCTGGGACACATCTTTCACTGTAAAGAGTTTGTTTTTTAAGCATTTGCGTTTCTGCTGAGCGAATAAAAACTCAGCACCATCCCCCCCCCCCCCCCCCCCCGGCCACCACAGTATTGCCCAGCTCACCCACTTTCACAACGTGGTGCCATCAACTGATGTCCGGATGCATCCTGGATCAGAACCTCTGCCTGTTCACAGGGGTCTCGGCCATGTCCACACAGTGCCTGACCCGTGCTTTGACCCGTCCAGTCAGCTGTTATTCACCGTGATTAGCCATTGTCCCATAATTCCATGTGAGCACCAGCTCAACACATTAAAGTCACAGAACTTGCCTCTGACACGCTTCTATTCCACTGGTTCATCAAACCGACAGATCCAGAATAGGATGGAATAATCTGCATACAAGGCTCTTGTGTTCCCCACATGTTGAATTTGATGGGTGCAGTTGCTCCACTGGCCAATAGAGGGAGATGTTGGAGAAGCTTCACGTGAAGGACCTGGAAGTGAACAGAAACAGACTGGGAGGGGAGTGTGCATTCATGACAGCGCTTATCAGGCTCTGCACAGTCTCATCTCTGTTGGGGACAACTTGCTGACTTAACGGTCTTGCCTGTTTTTCATTTTATTTTTTTTAATTTGTGAAATAGCTGCAGTATGACTAGCAGACTGGTTTATACCGGTTCTGAGGAGTCAGGGGGGTGGTGAGTAAAGCCCAGGTTGGCAGCACCACCCTGACCTGTGTAAAGTCCCTGTAAAACAACACATACATGCCCATATAGCCCCCATCATCCCCACCACAGTGTCCGTGCCCCCCCTTAATAGTTACCTCCGATTGTAGTCTCTCTGGTACCTGCTAAAGCTCACAGATGCTATTGGGCTCATGGTACCTTATTGTAACGTCCCTTTGACAAAGGGGCAGATATTCACCTGCACCCCTGCCCTCACCGCTCTGATAAATACATCATCCATCCATCCATCCATCTTCTGAAATGCTTCCACAGTCTCTCTTTAGTGGAGGAAAGAGGGTTAGGAGGACAGGAGGACTAGGGGACAAAAAATGTCTGGGTGTATATTTTGCAGGCAGAAGGATCGAGGGAGGGAAAAGGAAAAAATAACCCTGTGGAGGAAAGGGGGAGAGAGAAGGGGTGGAGGAGGAGGGAAGGGATATAGAGAGTTAGAGATGGAATGGGGAGAGAATGATGGAAAGAAGGGATAAGATAAGGGATGGAATGAAGAGAGAGGGAGAGAGATGTGATGAAAGAGGGAGGGGAAGAAGCAGACAAAGAAAAGAGAGAGAGCAAGGGCAAGTTTCAAAGAGGAGGAAAAAGAGAGGAACGCAGGTCTTTGTGCCTCGGACACTTCAGTTATAAATAGACATTTTAGGGCAGGGAGAGGATGACAGCATAGGGTGAAGCAGAAAACAGAGGCAGCAGGGAGGCTCCTCGGGAAAGACAGGAGCCCCCTGAGCTGGCTGGACGCAGAGAGGAGGAGAGGAGAACAGAGGAGAGCGAAAGACAAGGAAACCTGAGTCGCCAGAGAGCTGGGGAGTGGGGCAGAGGAGAGGCACATGCAGAGGCAGGCAGCGGCACGCGCGGACGGGGGGCTGGGGCGGCCCAAAGAGCAGCTGGCTGCCACCAGCAAGGCGGTGAGTAC